CCTCATTCCGCGACTGAGTCCTCCCTCCAAGACCCACCTCCCTGACATAGACTTAGACAGTACTTTATTGATCCCTTGGGAAGACTCCCTCAGGAAATTAAGGTTAGCAGCAGCTTAAGGGGCAAAAAGTATTAAGTTAAAAAATTAAATTAAGCAAAAAAAAAAAAAGAAAAAATTAAATAAATAAATAAATATACAAAAAATACAGATTAATTACAGTGTATGTAATATCTCTTCCCCCTGTCCTGTGACTCTACAGCCCACAATTTACCTGCAGAGCATCATCATAATCTGCAATAAACACGTTCAGTGATTAATGCACACAGCACAGCATCCAGTGGAGGCTTGATCCGGTTTCTTACCTATCAAAGACCACAGCGGCGTAGCTGGGTTCGGCGAATATCACATCCCCCGTGTTGAAATCCTTGGTGGCCCTCAGGCCTCGACCCTTCTTCCCGGCATCAAAGAGCTGAGCGTTCTCCATGTTCCCCACGGTCATTGCATCGGCCTGACAAAACCCACAAATGAGACAGAGTGGAAGGAGGAAAAACAAGCTGAGTCTTGATGAAATGTCCACTTCAGGAGCACTTACCCCCCCCCCCTTCTCCTTGGTCTGATCGTTGCTAAAGCCAAAAATAATTTGTCCCCCTGTAGGGCTCGTCCCACCTCCTCCGTTTTGAGGATTGTGGGGGGATTGGACTGAGAAGGGGGTGGGGGGGGGGGCTTGCTTAACCACCGGGCGGCCTGCGAATGTCACGGTGGGTGCCGTCCCCTTGTTTGGGTTGGTTCCTCCTGAAGTATTTTTGGTCCCGGGCAGCTGGGACTGTCAGTCAGAGGCGCATGACGAGAAACGGAGCAGCCCAGGAAGATTCGGCAATAGTTTTCAAACTTTTTTTCTGTTTATTTTACTCCCCTGGTATTATTTCATCCACTGCTTTCACAAAACTTTGCCAGGATAGAGAGTAATTCTTTGGTAAAGTCTTACCTGTCTGATCTCCTGATCTGAAATCTTGGATGTGCAGTATGACTGTATTCAAAGGGAAAAAATCAGTTTCTGGTGTATAAACCTGCAACTAATTAACATTGATGTAGATACCTGGTCAACAAGCCGCTGGCCAGCACTGTCTTCCCAAATTCATCTTTACTTTAAGTTAAACATTTGACTCAATAAATGTTGTAACTAGTTTATTATCACCTAAACTGTGCCTTATATTTGTACCTGCCTATGATAACAGTACAATGATTAAGTTTTTGTTTTTTTTTGTTGTTGATATTCTAAGAAAATCATATTTAGAGGTTTGTTGAAATATTTTAGACTGTATAATCGTATGCCTTATAGGATTATTCACATTGAAAACCGATTTTTTTCATAAATGTTGATGCATTATGAAATATGAAATAAAGACATCAAAGTGTGAGTTAGCGTAAACTAGTTCATCTCTCTCTCTGTCGTCCTTTTTACATGTTCTCAGATTGCCCTGTGATGGAAAGTATGTCCAGGATGTATCCAGTCTCCCTTCCAAATGACAGCTCTAAACACACTCAATAGGTCCCTAAACCGTAATAAGTGAGTTTAGAAAGAGAAGAATTAGAAATATCCTTCATTATTTCTCATTGTGGAAGGTCAGTTGGTATTGAAGCTCGATTGAAAAAATAAATACCATAACAAAACTATCTCAGTATTGCTTTTACTGCTTTACTTTTCTAATTAAACACACGTAGTGTGCTTTGCAAAATGCCTCAAATAACAATATTATTTATCTGGGGTACGTTTAAAGCATTTTATGGTTAATTAAGAGAAGAAAACTGACAAGAAAACGAAGAAAAAAAGCTAGATCAGCAGTCCCATTAAGGAATATGTTTTAATCTTCCCGTGTATTAAGACTAGGCAATGTAAATTTCAAAGTGCTTTACATAAAAAAGATTCAGAATGAAATAAAATTAATTTTTGTAATCACTTTTTTTGTTTGTATATGTTGTTGAAACATGGTCTCTTAGGTCATGTAAAGAGTTTTATAGAGTTCCAAGTTGGGGTGCGCCGCCTGGTTCCTTATTTATATATATATTTATTTATTTATTTTTTGTTTATTTATTTATTTATTTGATATATACTTTTTTGTTGTTGTTGTTGTTTGTTTCTTGTGTGTTCTTTTCTTTTGTATTAGGTTGCAATATACCTTTTACCTCTATCGGACTAATGTACTTGTTTCTCTTTGAAAGCAATAAAAAAGTTGTTCACAAAATAAAAAAAGATTTAGAATTTAGTCCACACGTCCTGTTGTCTTAGACAAATAAGAAACTGTACAGAAAGGGCAAATTCACAACACTGACAGATTCTGACACTGATACCATCATAAGATTCAAAAGCAGATTTGAAAAAAGGTAATAAAGTTAGATTAAAATAAATAAATAAAACCATAACAAAACTACAATACCATTTATTTCATATATTTATTTTTCTGCTGAAGCACACAATTTCTAGTTGACATAAATGATTTGCGAAATGCCACCGGTAAACAGACAGATATTAAAGGCACGTTTAAAGCACACTATACAGAAGAAAGCTGTATTTTTTGTTTTACCCTGAGTGGGGCACAAGAACAACTAAGCAACAAACCTTTGGGTCTTTGTAGCACAGATTATTAGAATGGTTCAATACAGAATTAACAATACATCATCAATGAAATGTCATCAACAAAACGTCAATGGAATCAAAGTAAAACTAATATAGAAATCATGGACAACAGTAATAGTTTTGTAAAGAACTATTTAACTGAGCACACATCATTTACTTTCATATAAGTGGAAGTTCACTGACCAGAGAACTAAGAAAAAAAAACAAGACCCGAAGTCACAATAAAAAATATATTTTCATATTCTGATATATCAAAGGTAGGCAAGGTAAAGTTATCTGTATGGCACATTTTGTGCGCAAGACAGATAAAAGTGCTTTACAGAAAAAGATTTTGAATTTAGTCCACTTGCTATGTTATTGGACAAAAGAGAGACAAAATAGTAAAAGAGAACGTCCACAAAGTTTGCTGGATGGTCAGCATGTTTAAAATCTGAATCACAAGGATTTGCTGAATATATGCAACTCTAATATAAGCCACTAAATTAAACTGTGTTTGCGCACAGAAAGGTTTCAAATAGCTATGTCTATGGTTTATGCTGGTTTTATGGCTAGATTCTTACTATATGTAAATTGATTTGATAAGAATAATCATAATTCCTAATATAACTCTCATATACAAAGACAGATATATGGCCAGGTTTTTAACAAACTATAATATAATATCTTATATAATATATAAGTTCAGCCAACAACAAGACTGCAATACGGTCTTTAATAAATAATTAAACTGATTTGTTTTCCTTTAGAATGGATATTTTAGGTGAGTATACATATAGATATTATATTAGAAAATTAAGAAAGTAGACATAAGCTTTGGAAAGATCATCACAAATGTGATGGGAATGATGAAGATCACAAATTTTGTAAACAGATACAACTATTTAAATGTTATTTTGAGCTGTTTTAATCAACTGAACAAAAATAAGTATATTGAGATCATGTAATAAAACTGATATAGTAAAAACTACAATTCAAAAAAACCTATGGAAAAAAGAAACAATCATAATGCAGGCTATAGTCAAAATAAATGTTAATGATGAGTACCTTTTGAACTAACTACAAACTAAAATAAAAGACCTTTATTTATAATAACAATTTTAAAAATTCATAATAACAATTGTGTTCTTTACCTACAGTCTGTAATTTTTTATGGAAACAAGTGCTTTAGTGCTGTGGAATACAGCATCAATTCCATTTTTCTCAAACCATTTTGGAATGCGACTGATAATATAAGATGTGATTAAAATATCAGTCTAAAATATTCCTGACTTGGGTAATATGAAAATGGATGATGGCCAGGTACCATCAGAGTAAACAATTACTGTTTCGTAGAATTAGAAATGTTTGGCATTTTATCCCTGTAGTGTAGCTTCTTGTAAAACTTATTGTAGCTTTACAATACATGAACATAGGTTCTGGAATGCTTTTAATCTGGTAAGAATAGTTTTTGGTCAGTCTTATTCTTCATTCAATCATCAAAGAACATGGAAATACCAGCAAGGCAAAAATCTAAAAGGCAGAAAGTGCGCTCATTCTCTGTCTACAAGTCGTAGATATCTATGTGAGCTCCTGAAGTGTAGGTGTCCTCTAATAGCAACTTCATCAGCTTTGCGCAGGATTCCTCACAGGTGAGCAGCTGACCCTTAGCAAACATGTCCGAAAATGACTTTTTGATGTTTGGATCAGCTGTGTTGGATCTGGCCTCCACCTGCATGGCTGTGTCTAGAGGCCCTGTTTGAAAAAAATACATAAACAAATGATCACATAAATACATACGTTAAAAATTATGTCACATATTGAAATTTATCAGATTGTCTGGATGCTCTGATGGAAACTGTAAATTAAATTTTAAACCTTAGCCCAGATCTTTTAATACAAGTCAATAATGGTTTTTTTTGTTTTACTTAAATTAGATATCTAAAAGTTATCAAATATGATCGTGTTTTTTTATTGAGCTAAAGTAAGAGCTTTTCTATTTAAAAGAGATTTTTTTCAGAGTGTCCCTGCCCTAGACAGCGTTGCGTGTCCCAAAGATCCTGGGAGCTATGTTGTTGGGGGCAAGGAAGTTTTTCCTTGCCTGTGTCGCCTAGTGCTTGTTCATGGTGGGAATTGTTGGGTTTCTGTAATTAACTTCAGAGTAGGGTCTGACCTGCTCTGTTTGGAAAGTGCTGTGAGACAACTGTTGTTGTGATGTGGCGCTATATAAATAAAATTGAATTGAATTTACGTCATTAGTGCCTGTTGTGGTGGCAATCCCAGAACTTGTTGGTGGACACTAGCACTGAAGGATGCCGCCATTCAAAAAGCAATACATTTAAGAAGCTCAGTGGTTTTGACTCTTCATTTTCTACAACTTAGATTGCCTTGATTATCATGACTATCAGTTGGGATTTAGTTTCTCCACTTTGATCATGATTTGAAAGTATAGCTGAAGAAAACATATCAGTGGAGTCTGATAATGTGAGTGGTTGGATGTATGACTGTTGGCTTGTATAAGGCTCCAATAAAAAATCTTACCTGGAGAGTAGTTGAGCACCCGCACATCTGGCTCCTCCTCAGCTAGAACCTTGAACATCATTTCTCTGGCAGCTTTGCCGGTGCAGTACAGCACCCAGGAAGGGAAAGGCTGAAGGGCGCACAGCGACGAGACGTTGATCACGGTGCATCGACGGCCTGGATTCGGGGGGAAAGCCTCCAGAACTCGGGCAGTGAGGCAGAGGGAGGAGCTAACATTAAGGGACAAGTAAGAGTCCACTTCAGCCATGTCGGTGAAACTTTTAGTGTAGCGGGATACGTCTCCCAAAGAGCCTGGTGGAAGAAGAGAAACAAAGAGTGTGAGAGTGTTTACATGAAAAAGTGTTGTGCCAATATTCTCAAGCCAGAGAAGGAATTAGACTTTATACGATTTTTAATTAGAACCCTCGAAATTTCACGATGTGTTAAAATAACTTCGCATTACTCCATGTCACTATATTTAAAGGAAACTTTTTCGTGATTAAGTGAACCTGACATGTATATTAAAAACACAAACAGACTTTAGTCAACGAATAGCAAGAAGAAACTACAGTATGAGGATAGAGGAGAGATTTAAGCTAACATGTAGAACAAAAAATGAATCAAAAGGAGGAGGAGCCAGACAGCCAGAAACAAAATGAGTGAAATCAAAAACCCAAAGTGCAAAAAATTGGGAAATGTCGATCATGAACTAAGGCACACGGAAATATTTCTGAAAAAAAAATAAAATCCTGGTTTAAACTAAGAACCCCCAAAAATCACCAACATAATTAACACAAATCCATAGAACTAACTATGGATGCTCACTTTTCAAAAGTATGCGGAGCAACATCAATTAGTGTCAGTGTCACAATGTCCACTTGACTTCATCAGGACGATTATAGGATGTCCACTTCCAAAACAGGCTTTAATCTTGAAAACTGTGCTTGACAATGCTTGAAATAGAAATTGAACTTCTTTCATTATGATTTTTTTTCCTTTAGTGTTGTATAATTTAATTATACGCAGAAAACAGCATAAAGCCATTGGAGCAACTTTGCTTCAGGGAGTGACCAATAGGCCCACTGGCCGCCCCTTGAATCTAACTGGCCACCCTACTGGCCACTCCTACCATAGTAGTCAATCAGCTTGAAAAAAAACTGCATACTTTTAGGATTATAAAAGAGGAAAAATCTATGATTTGCTTGCAATGCGCTGATTTAATAATTAATATCTTACAAGACTATTTCAAATATCATGAGTAATTTTGGGGGGAAATGATAGGACTAGTAAATTGTACAGTGTGATATCAAGCCCATGTTTGAGTGAAAGTCCTTTTCCTTTGTAAGTTAATCTAACCACACAATATCCAGGTTTTCTTAAGGGACAGATCGAATCAGGGAGAAAGAAAGAGCAAGAGGAGGACTAATAGGACTTTTTTCAGTGTAAAAGGAAAAGAAAAAAGGAGCAAAAAGCAGTGATGTCATGAAAGCTGCAGGAGCATCCACAGAAATATCTTTAAATCCAGGTTTCACTGGATCTATTACTGTACTCTCTAGTGTTAATGAGAGGAAGTGTGATTGTTCATTTGTAAAAGCTAATTGACATTTGAATTTTACTTTGGAGACAAATTCACTTTTGATTTGGCTATCATTTTTATGGGGAAGAATGGACAAGTATCCCATTGCATTTGCGGCCACTAATGCACTATTCCATGTGTATGAGGGAAAAATAGACAGCTCTCCTATTCATACCGTCTGTCACCTGCTGTTCATTACAGTGTAAAATGACAGGATATTAAAAAGAAAAAAAAAAAAGCAATTTCATTGTGCCAGCCTGAGCCTTCAATAGTCTGTGCCTCCACCTGGTCCTAGTATTGCCTCATGCCATTTTTTGCTTAAGGGTACTCACACAAGTTGTTGTTTTTCTTATTTAAAGGAGCATTTATCAATTATAAAATGTTACATTTAGGCTTTGTGTTACCAATTCACAAATGACAGGATCTTTTTTATTTTTTAGATGTTTTTCTATTTCATTTAAAAAAGCTTTGTGAGCTGACATAGTCTTTTTCTAAGCCAAAACAAATAGACAGGATATTTATGAGGACAAGACAAAATAAAGATAGTAGACACATGCTTTATGACAAAAAACAAAAACATTCCAACATTATTATTTCTAGTACTCAATGTAAGGGTGGCTTACCGGCGTTATTGACCAGAATAATATGTTCAATACTCTCAGAAAAAGCCTCTTTGGATGTTTGCACGATGCGCTCCAGGCCCTCCGTTCGCGTAACGTCCGCCACGACTACCTCCGTCCGGACTCCGGCCTGTCCGGCCCGGCCGGGCCCCGGCTGGTCCAGCTCCGCCTGCAGGGCGCGCAGCTCGTCGCCGGACCGGGCGGCCAGCACCAGCACCGAGCCGGGGGTCACCAGCCCGGCCACGGCCTGCGCCACGGCGCGGCCGAAGCCTTTGGAGGCGCCGGTGATGACGCACAGCGCACGGCCCAGGTCTTCAGGGAGAGGCATGGTGTGCAACAGGGCCGGGAAGGAGGACAAGAATGCTGCCTAAGCCTCTAAGAAAGCTCTGCTGCGACGTGTGCTGGGCATCTGCTTCTTCTTCAGGGCTTGGTGATGTAATTCCACTTGTTGCCCTGTCGCCACCTCTCGGTATCTATGTATACATGTGTATGTATAAATATTTATATAAATATTTATGGATTGATAGATGAACATATAGATAGATGGTAAAATAGGTAGATACAGTGGGGGAAATAAGTATTTGACCCCTTGCTGATTTTGCAGGTTTGCCCACTTACAAAGAATGCTTATTTTTCCTCATCAGATGGTTATCAATTTTTATAAATTCATAGGATGTGATTTTCTTGAACTTTCTTTGGGATTCTGTCTTTCACTGTTAGAATGTACATATGATTAAAGTTATAGATCGTTGCATTCTTTGTAAGTGGGCAAACCGGCAAAATCAGCAAGGGGTCAAATACTTATTTCCCCCACTGTAGATAGATGGAAATATAGGTAGATAGACAGGTAGATATATATGTGGAGAGGTGGGTAGATAGATAGATAGATAGATAGATAGATAGATAGATAGATAGATAGATAGATAGATAGATAGATAGATAGATAGA